GCACACTCTGGGGAGCAGGCATACAACATATATTAAGCATCTACTGTGTGTCTGGTACTTTCATATGTTATAAGAACCATGAGGTATGGGTATTATGGTCCCCACTGGGAGATGATGTTGCTAAAGTTTAGGGAAACAAAGTATCTTGCCCAAAGTCACATATCTGACTAGTAAAAGTAGATTCTAAACTCCTTACAAAAATATAGTATGTCTAGCTTTCTTAATAATCATAATTGCATAGTCTTTCAATTGTGATTTTTACTGACATCAGCCTCCACCAAAAGAAATCTTGAAAATAGATCTATATTATATACATTCTCAAAAAGGGTAGGCAGGTATACATGAGAATGTATAATTTTAGTGAAACACAGAAAGGCTCACCCAGATGTATAAAACATAAATTTGTGCAGTCATCTGTAGAAATTTTTTATCAAGGTGTGTTAGCCTTGTTCAATCATATGATACAATGAACATTCAACATTACTGATAACTATTTAAATAATTAATGACAATGCAGACTATCAGAAGCCCAAAAACTTGACATTAAAGAAATTTAGGATTACTTTAGCATGTGTACCATTCAGTTTTATATACACGATGGAATGATGCTGTGTAGAGTTTGGGTGCTTTGGATTCAGATCTGGATTTAAAGCGTGGCTCAATGGTTAAACGTGGACCTATGAACCAGGAAATTGTGGTTCGATTCCTAGTCAGGGCACATGTCTGGCTTGCAGGCTTGATCCCCAGTGTGGGAGGTGCAGGAGGCAGCTGATCAATGCTTCGCTCTCATTGTTGATATCTTTCTCCCTCTCCTATCCTCTCTGAAATCAATAAAAATATATTCAAAGATAAAAAACAAAACTTGGTGATAGCAATTACTAATGGTGTAAGGGAAGTTAAGAAACTTGGGTAAGTTTCTCTAACCCTCAGTTTTTCAAGCCACAAAATGAGGAAAATAAGCAATAGAAATTTATAGGGTTAAATTAAATAAATATATTAAAGGCCTGACTGGCACAAAGTTGGTACACAAATAAATGGCTCCTGTTATTGTTATAGCTTTTAAGTGATCTGGGGATAAGATATGCTCAAACTATATCCCAAGAAACCAGAAACATTAATCAGAAAGGATATATGCACCCCTATGTTCATAATAGCACATTTTATAATAGCTAAGATTTGGAAACAGCCTAAGTGCCCTCAGCAGATGAATGGATTAAAAAAACTTTGGTACATCTATACAATAGAATACTATGCTGCTATAAAAAAGAAGTAACTTTTACCATTTGCAATAGCATGTATGGAACTGGAGAGCATTATGCTAAGCCAAATAAGCCAATTGGAGAAAGATAAACATCACATGATCTCACTCATATATGGAATATAACAATCAACATAATTTGATGAATAAGAATAGATCCAGGGACAAATGGTTGGGGAGAGGGGAGTTAGAGAGCAACTAAAGGACTTGTTTGCTTGCATATTAGCTAACCAATGGGAAGACACTGGGATAGTGGGGGCTTGCCTGGGGTGGGAATGGCTGGCGCGGGGGGTAATTGGAGAAAAAGGAGACATATGTAAAACTTCAGGCAATAAAAAAAAGAATCTGCTCAAATATGCTCCTTGGGGACTAGGCCTTCATGGTAGTCTAGATACCTCCCCCACCCCTCCCCTGCATGCAGCCAAAGACCAAAAGGAACACACCTGGAGTAGAAGTTGGGTTTAATTTTTGTTGAAGAGAACAAGAAAGCTTGCCATGGGCACTGTGAAGTGTCTCAGTAAAAGGGCTTTATAAAGAGCTCATTATAGGATTTGGAACTTTGTTTTGTGATTTGGGGAAGCTCCAAGGAAGGAGGGGTTCATTCTAGATTGGCTACTGCCACAAAGCAGGGACAATACTACAGAAAAGATAGACCAGAGTGAGGCTAAAGCAACAAATGGACAAGCAGCAGCACCCCCATATCAGCTGGGAGAAGGCAGTTAGGCATTTTGTGGGCGACGCAGTAACCTTGTTTTTGTCTATGCTCAGACAACATTTCAAAATGGTCTTGTTTTGTCTCATCTCATCACGGTCTCAACATAACTTTGTCTACTGGTGTTCTGAGAAATTGTTTATATTTTAACAACACTGAAGCCTCAGTGTTAGATCAATTCCTGGTTATCAATGGCTGCTTTTTCTCAGTATCTTTTCAAAGTATCTAGGAGGCCAGATATCGATACTTTGAAATATCACCTATTACATGTGCTTTATAAGCTTCCTGAATTATTAACTTAAAACTGACTCTACAAAAATACACAACTACTTTTAATAAAGAAGCTTGCTTGGTTCACTATACCTCTCAAAAAAAGTGGCAGTATAAAAACAACCAATTTAATTTTATTATAGATGGAAAGTTGAAGTGATCTTATTAAGATCAGTCTTGAACCAAGAGCTAAAATATACTCTGGTCATTTTACCTTCCTCTATAACAGTGTTTCCCAAACATTTGACATATGTGTACCCCTTCTATAATTTTCGTAACGCTGAGTACCCCTCGTACTCATGAGAACGTAAAATTAGACGCAGCTAAGCACGGTGCAGTGCATATCCCCACCAAACTCTGGCGCAACGCATACCCCCACCAAACTCTTCCTGTACCCCTGGGGGAACGTGTACCACACTTTGGGAAACACTGCTCTATAAGATATAATGTTAAACTTCATTAATAAGTTCTCTCTTCCTCTGATGATTGCACTAGGTGAGCAAATTATTTTCCTCATCAATCACCATGGTCTTAACGAAAACCAAACAAGCAAACCTGGTGTATATGTTTAATCATTGCTTAGCCAGACTTTGAAAAAAATTATATCTTCAATTTTAAAAATCCATATTATGCATACTTCTCTTCTTCAAATGATGAAAGTTATTTTCATAAGTAATATAAATTATTTAATGGTCAATTATCATAACAGCTTTAGGGGAACATGTCTTCATAGTAAATTAGGCTTACTGTTTGCTATTCTCATCCCAAACTGGATATTAAGCATTTTAAGTTTTGAATACTTCAGTAATTTTGAAAGAGTGAATCAGTTTTAAAAACTGGCTATACAATGGCTATATATCACCTATTTTAGAACACATTTTACTGCTATGTCACACTCCCTTCATTCCAGCTCTCTTGGAGTAATCCATGACAACACATGCAAATGACTGTCGCACAATCATGGTCTGCCTCAGTTCCAGTGTTTTCCTACTTGAAGATATTGTAAATAAAAAGCAGAGCAATCATAATCTGAAGTAACACAGAATTTGTGAGGAAATAAGTAACGAAAGGAACAATAATCATAATCTCAAGTAACACAAAACTTATGAGGAAATAAGTAATGAAAGGAGTAATAATCGTAATCTCAAGTAACACAGAACTTGTGAGGAAATAAGCAAGGCTTGGTGTGGTGAGGTCAGTGCTGAATTATAGCAAGGCCTTTATTAGAGGACACAGAAAAGCACTTGTTCTAGCAGATGCTCCTGAACTGTCTAGCTGTCTAGGGCAAGTTTCTCATTCCTAGTCAACAGGAGAACACTTGGCAAGAGTTTCTCATAACTGGAATATCAACAGCAATAGTAAACAGTTAAAAAAGTTGAACTCATCAAGCCTGTATAGAATCAAAGCAAATACCAGATGTTAAACTATCTGTTACTAAATGCCATCATTAATACTTTAAGTATTTGAGGGGGAGAAAAGTGGAATACTTCATTCATAAGTTCTGTAGGCTCACAAAAACAAATATATTGAAAAAAGCTGCTATTAAATAAATAAAATCAAGATTTAGAGTGACTTAATATAATAAAATACATAATAAATTAATATGTGTATACATATTTTATCTATGTATGTATATATCTGTATATATGAGTATATGTATAGGTATTATGAGAAATAAAAATATTTCCAGATATAAATGAAGATCAAAGATATTTATCATTTAAATATCACAAGGGATTTTTGTTAGCTAAGTTGATGGCAATAAAGGCTTTCAAATTTTTATTAACAACTATAAAGAATCTCCAAAATTAAAAGTATGTTATAAAAATGAAATACCTTTCTAGGACAAAAAGTACTAATACATTTAACCATAAATTAAATCACACTGTTTATAATATATAATCCTATAATTTTATATGAATATGGACCATTATGTGATATTTTCATTAATTCAGATGGATGCTGTACTCACAAAATTTACTTTTTTCAGCACAACTGAAAAAAAGAATCAACAAACACCTCATAATTAGTTCTCATTCATTTTAAGAATATGATATATATGTTATATACATCAAGTTTATCAATCTGAATAAGAAGTAAAAAACAATGATTAAGCTGCAACTTTTATATACTTGGAGGGGGGGTTAAAACTCTATACTAGTCAGTAATGGCTTAATTATAGCACTGTCTGGATCATCTACAAAAAAGCAATGATAAAGGGATAAGAGGAATTTAGCAAAGCATCCAGAAGTATAAAGATGAAGAATAAAAATCTTAACCACTGGGTTAGAAGCTATTCTACAGTTTATCTATTTGCTTAGTAAATATTATTTTAACCTAGTATTTCATAAAACTATAAATTCAGTCAATATGACAAATTAAAAGATGTTAAGAGTCCTCTACATATGTCAGTGTTCTATGTGATTTCAGAGGAATGACATCTTATTGGGGAAATATTTCATGATTTTCTTTAGAGGACAATGATAATTATTAAATTACTAAATTATAAGACTAAATACTTCCTTATTAAAGCATACACAAAAACCACATAACATGCAGAGTGCTATTTCCTAAATTATACTTCAAGTTTAATAATGGCACCTAGATTTTTTTTTCTAAGAACTTAATTCATGTATAAATAAACTTCTCTATCATAGGTCAACTCCTAAAATAATTTGGCAGAGTATAAATTACAGTTAATTCTTTATTTCTGCCCATTATTATTCTTCAGAGACTGAGAATTTGAATGTTAAGTCTTACCTGACCAGGTTCTGTTCCAGTAACAGTCAAGTCTTGGATGGATCTACGTCTTGGCTGTCCGTTGCCTTTTAAAAAATAAAAAAAGTAAAATACCAAAATCTATTCAGACATACAATAAGGATTTAATCACTACAGTAGGAAGTTCAAATTTGTTGCTCCTTGAATCTATACAAAATGTTTGTGAGAGAAAAAAAACTGAATTTATTATTTAAAAAAATAAAGAGAGAAAGGTGTTTTTAAAAAAAAAAAAAGGGAAGAGAAACAGCTGGAATGTTTTAACTCAAAAGTTGCCGGCCTACAACAACGCATGTCCTAATACAATAACCACTCCTACCACACGAGTAGCTGCTGAACTCTTTCCCACCATCTTCTGTCATGTATTTAAATAGATGAATGCTTGGGGGGTGGGGCTGATGACGGCATCTATTTCAAGGGCCTTACGTTACAGCTTCTACAGCAAGACAGCTATCAGGTTGTAAGACACGACTGACTTTAACCAACAACAGTACCTTCTTCATTTCAGGGCCTAAAAGGATGCATAGGCTTAAAATTTAATAAACCCAGTCACACTTACTTAAGCCCATTAGTCTTTGTCAGAATCAGGTAATACTGGTTGTGAACAACAACTCTTTAATTTCCTACTGGAGATAAATGACTCTTATTCTATTCTCAAATACACAGCTTGTTTAAATGGGCTACTGAGTTAATCCTGCTTTAGGAACTTCTGTGCTGTTCATGAAAGAATTCTACAAAGTTAAGAATCTAAAAATCAGTTCATGAAAGAATTCTACAAATTTAAGCCTTCAACAAAAGAGAATGAATTAAGCATTAGCTTCACTCAGCACTTTTATTTGGGATGAGAGATCAGCTGTCTAAAAGGAAACCCCAAAATATTATGAGTAACAGCTGACACAATACTCGAAATTCTTTTGACTCTGAAAGCTATATTATGCAATTTCTCAATTGTGGGCAGCCCCAGGAACATGTACTCTAATAGCTGTGCCCTGATCAGCAGGCAGATTTCTTCATTCTTAAAATTTACACTTCCATACCCTACGTATCTTATTTTAACTAATCAGCAATATAATTTAGCATATTAATCCATTAGACCCCATTACTACTTTACACATAAACTAAAAAGGATCATATAATAATATCTGATGTAATAATGTGTAGTGAATACAAAAACTCAGATGTTTAGCCACCCTTAAAAAGTGTTTTAGAATTCTTTATATAATTATAACTCAAACATATACTTCAAATTTCATTTTATCCCAGTTCTAACTTTTGATTACAAACTAACAAAGCAATAAACTGCACACTTATTGAATCAGGTACACTAAGATACTTTTATGAAAACTTTTAACTATTCCTGTTTTTGGAAGACAAAAAAGATCCCCACTACCATGACTAATAAGCAATTTTAGGCACATTTTATTCAACACAATCATTCTAAAATTAGCTTATATGAGATAGCCTTGTAAAAGTGTCTGGAATTCTTTTTTCAGATAAGCAACATTTGTGAATCTAGAGAACCACCCAGCACATGTGTCTAAAAATCATTACATCACCATTGCAATAACAACAAAAACAAACTCAAACCTAGGTGGAGGTAAGAGAAAAGGGAAGTAAAAACTTTTAAGGAAATAGGGTAGAGAAGAGCTGACAGTTCACAAATGCCATAAAATGAAAAATCTTTAGCTATAGCATGAGTCAAAGCAAGCAATATTAAGCAATGTATTTAATTAGCATAACCATAGCAGAAACCATATGGCAAATAGTTCAGACAAAGCAGAAAAAGATTACAATCAACAAATACTTGTTGCTCCAATATTAAGTTTTAAGTCATAATTTAGAAATATGAATGTAAAAATAAATAAAATACCTATCATTAAAAATGAAAATTACTGGGTGGGTTCTTAGTAAATTTAGATTCTAAGTTTTTTTGCAACTAAATGCTAATTTAGAAACTCACTTATTTTACATTTTTAATGGTTCCTTGATATGTGCATATCTATATTACACATGGTAGTATAAAAGAACAAAAAGAAGAAAAGCGGAGCAAGATGCCTCTCTAACCAGGGTTTCTTAGCACTGGCATTATTGACATTTTAGGCTGGGCAATTCTTGGCTGTGGTAGGCTGTCCAGTACAGTGCTGATGTTTAGCGTGATTCCCTAGCTTCTGCCTACTATATGTCAGCAGCATCTGCCAACTGAGACAACCAAAAATGTTTCCAGACATTGCCAAATGTGCCCTCTGATGAGGAGAGGGGGGCAAATTCATCCTGATTGAGAACCACTGAGACTATTATTTTCTCCTAGTCTCTCTCTCTCATCTTGTATAGTATTGGCTGTATTGCCCACTGTGTGAGTATTTATATGTGTATGTGTATGTATTTACCCCTAAGACCTGGATTAAGATTGTACTACCATTTGCCTAAATTTTCCTGATTCCCTCAAACATTTAATATAATCACAGCTCAGCAATATGTGTGTAAAATGTTGCCACTTTAGTTAGAATATTATTCCCTTAAACATATAGTACCTTTTACCATGAAGTAAAATGATCTCAAGTACTTGTTAATTTTGAAAGCAACCCATGACTAAATAAAAGTACAATGTAAGAAAAAGGTTAACTCTATTCTCTGAACAGCCATAGTGATGATATAAAACAAACTACTTTCATAACCAGAATGAAAATTCCTCTAAAAAAATGGTTTTATATACACAAAATGGACCCTAGGAATTGTATAACTTATATTTTATACATATTTATAATTTATATGGAATCTATATGAATGCTAATTCCTGGCCACTGAACCTCAATTATAATTTGTTTAAACAGGCACAATTTATTAAATACTATGTAAAAGACATTGACCAGACAGTTCTGATATAATCAAAACTAAGTAATAAAGACATTGTCTCTGTTCTCAGTTATGTTTCCTAGAGAAAAAAACAAAACAAAAAACCCACTAGGTATTCAATAGTATGCAAAAAGAATAATCATAGGCAAAGTACCAGAGTGCTAGAGAATTCACCCAAAGCACACCATGAATGTGTGGGAGGGAAATTGTAATTTTCTTATCAAAATTTGGGGGCAGGAGGTAAAGGAAAACCTAAAATAGAGGGTTAAAGAAATGATAATTTGGATAACATGTATTAACCAATATTAAATTAAAGGTCACACATGCATTAAAGCGTCTATCAAAAATGGTGATTTAGATTTATCTATAAGATCATCACCATAAGAAATAAAAGCAATTTACCAACTTGAAGTAGCATGTGTGAGTTAGGTATAAAAAGTAATTTGTGGAAGATTCTCCTGATATGGAGAATCTTGGATAATGCACAAAAATCAAAACTGAACATGATTCTTTGGCAAGATACCATGTGAAACAGCAAATCTCTTTTAATTTTACTTTCTGTTTTCTAAGTTAAGGCAAAATGGTATTTAGCAGTCCTCTTTTCTCAACTTCATATTTCACTTGTTACCAACAGAAAGAGGCTGGGATAGAAAGCCTAGTGGACACCCCTCCAATAGTATCTAAGGAAGAAAAGAAGCCAAGGACAAGAAATATTTTTTAAATAGTTGTTTCCTCTTTCTGCTGGGTGCAAAAAAGGTCTGGGTTCAGTTTATCTACTCACCTAAAAGCTGAGAGGAAGTTGGTAAAGTCTGGGCAGGCATTCTCCCTTCTGTGAAAAGGTTTACTTTGCCTTCTATTTTATCCTCATTTTTGGATATCTGGGGTATCCTGTCAAGCCCACTTCAGTGTAGATAAATGTATACATTTTCAATCTGTCTCCCTAATTACTGCATGCAAGGTATCTATTTTCATGTCCTACAAAAATTGGAGCAAGAAGCATTTTGTAAGTACCAGGGATCATTATTCCGGTTCCACAGTTATTAGACCAACTCAGGTGGCCTATGATACCTGATATGACGATCTCAGGGACATCCAGAATGTTGCCAAATGAAGCAGTTTTACGATGGCCCCGTTTAGGCTTGGAACAGGCTGCAAAAACACATATACACAGTATACATGCAAACAACCACAAAAGTAACACAGAAAACAATAAATTACAAAAACAAAATAGTTTTCAAATAGTTATGTTAATAACACTCCGTGCAGAAAGGCATGCAGAACTATCTGACTTTCATCATGCTCAGAAAAGGCGTGATTAAGGAGCAAACAACTACCAATACAAGATGTTTCACACACTGGCTTTAATTAGCAGAAGAAAAAAACAGAAAAGAAAAAGAAAAAAAAAAAAAAAAAAAAAAAGGACAGAGACAAACAAAGCTGCAAGGTAATAAGGAAGCTAAATACAAATATGTTCATAGAAATAATCTACCTAAGTGAAACCACTGATATACCATGGAGGGGCTAGGATGAAAGTGGGGAGGAAGGGAGGAGTTAAAAGAAATAAGATACCATATTTGTTTTAATATAAAAATACAAGAATATATGTTCAAGTTAGGTATTTTTTGAACTGTGCTATAAAGTAGAATTCTTTGGTTAAATGATAATTATTTCATCAAAGTATAAAATGTACATACTTTTATAATTATAAATTTTTATATAAACTGAGTGGCCAGATTATTATGATCTCTGAACACATAATAATCTGGCCACTCAGTGTATATCCTATATAATAAAAGCTAATATGTAAATTGTCCCCTCGACCAGGACTTCGACCAGCAGGCAGGCCGGCCAACCGTCCATATCCTCTCCCTCTGGCCAGGCTGGCCGAACCCCACCCATGCACAAATTCATGCACAGGGCATCAAATAAACAAACAAACAAACAAACAAACTGAGTGACCAGATAATTATGCGTTCAGAGATAATAACAATCTGAACACTCAGTGTACACTTCTAGTAGACTGAGTTTATTTATTGTAGTTTCCAAAGTTTAGGGTACATTCCTGCTAAACATAAATAGTGCTGAAAAGCTAGAGAAAATTAACCTTTCAAAGTAAGGCAATTTACTATAAACATATGAACTGTGTAGAATTCAGTGACTATTCAATAGCCCCTGCTCTACATTTAGGCAGAAAAAGGATAGGGTAATTTAAATGCGTATGGTAATCTTTAACTTAGAGAAATGTCATTTCTGTAAAGACTATAAACAGTACCTGACTAGAATATTGACACCGTCAGATATAAAATTATTATAGCACTACTTCCTGTTTTAAGGAAGAAATCACTAATATGGCTGATCTATCTTGAATGATATCCCTGAAATGGAAAAGATTCCCCAAAGTGTGAGGGCATATCCCTATTCATCTAATACTATAGTGAGACACCCTCCCTCCCCAGAAATACTGGTGACTCATAGAGACCAGAAGAGCTTACCAGAGCTATTGACCTCCAATCAACTTGATTGTTTCTGAAGACCCATCTGTATGGCAGAGATTGCTGGTGCCCTCTCAATCATTATTTTCTCCTTTTTCTTATCAACAGAGCCCTGACTTTACTCTGGAATAGCTCCATGAAGAGCCTGGATATGTGCCCTTTGGCCTTCTCCTAATTTTTCCTTCCTGTTGTCTGGATAGTGTGGATGTGATGACTGGAACTGTAACAACAATCTGGAGCACCCAAGTATTTATGAGGATGGAAGCCACACAATAGGGTCTGTGGCACAGAGGGACAGAAGGAATCTAGTCGTCTAATGATCATGGAGCCTACCTCCAGATTTGTTTAAGTGTTAACAATAAAAGTTTATGTGTTAGACACTGTTACTTTGGACATTCTGTTATATCGACCTGATCTTAATGCTGATTAATAAAATCATTGATCATGATTAGTTGAAGTCAAGAACAGTATGGTTGTCCTCTGGACAACTTCTATCTGAAAAGAGCTCCACGCAAAATCAGAATATTTAATTTAGAAAAAAGACCAAATGAATGACAAAAAAACACACACAAAAAAACCAAAAACCTCATTAGCTAATTTTTAAAATATATGCTAATATACATGTACATACATATATAACTATGACACTATGAAAGATTTTTTTTTGTTTATATTTCCACATTTTTCACAAAAGAAATGTATTTACTTGTATAATGAATGAGCTTCCCTCCACCTCTGAAGGAATCAGAAAGAAGACAAATAAAACCACCATTACTAAAATGAAGCCTAGCTAGAAAAGGTTAGATGTTTAGTCAGGTAACAACACATATAATTTTTGTGTGTGACCAGTCCTTTCATAATTAATAATTTTAAGAGCTGACAAAATGGAAATGTTAGTGTTTTCAAGATCAAATATAATTAACGTAATCTTTTATTTTACAATTAAAAGCATTAACCACAACCAAATTATATATGAATCTGGAGTACATTTTTTTGCTAATTTCAAAACAAGATATTTGCTATTATTTGAATTTAGCACAAAATTCTAGTAGAATCACTCATAATCTTCCAGCCCTGGCCATTGTGACTCAGTTGAGTGTTCTCCCATGCACAAGAAGTTCGCTGGATAGATTCCCAATAAGGAAACTTTCCAGGGTTGTGGGTTTGATCTCCTGTCGGGGTGCATATGGGAGACAACCAATGTATCTCTCTCACATCAATGTTTCTCTCTTAAAAAATTAAAATATTAAAAAACTTGCAAAACATGGTTTTGGTAAAATTTCAATTTCTCATTTAGATTTATTTTCTGCTCATGTTCCCACTGAAAGAATAACATTTGATAAAATCTGTAATTAGTAATGTATATATTGTATGGTCCAAAAAATTTTATAAGTCCTATCATATTCCTTATTTGCAATTTGAGAGAAATATGTGTAATATTGCTAATAGTTAGAAAGTATACTGTAAGCCTACTTCCTGCTTCAAAAATTTTTAAGACACAAAAATCCCTGATAATCCTAATACTGAAACAACTGAAACTATCATTTTCGCTCCTCTTCATACTTTTATTTCCTTTTTACCTGTAGTTGCAGCAATCCTGGCTTCTATTTCAGACATGTCAGCACTCATCCTCTTGCCCTCGGAGGTCGGGGGCAAGCTCTCTACGCTGTTCCCACGGGAAGCTCCCAAGCTTAAACGGCCAGATTCATTCTGTTAAAATTACAGGTCATTGTGAATTACTGAAACTCTTTGGATTTAAAATCCTAGACAGCCTAGAAGGAGGAAAAATACCAACTGGGATTCTTATGAGTTCTGTTTCTGAAAGAAAAGGGAAGTTTTCAGGAAAGGAAGCTAAGTTTTCAGGTGTTAAGGGAGAGCAAGCTGTAATACTGGCCTTCAGAGAAGGGTGGTCACTGGAGTTAAATACCCCAATTATTAGTTAACCTAAATGCCTCAGGCAAGATGAATAAAATCACACCTTAAATAGCAAACATATAATATACCTGAACAACATGGAACGATAGATTTAGGACAACTTTAACTGGATAGTACAGCTAAGAAAATAGTCATTTGACATTTTTAAACATTAACCATTAAAGTTAGGAATCAACATAGAGAGAGAGCTGCACAGTTGGCAAAGGCAGCAATCATCAGAAGGGAAAACAATTTGGTAATAGGAGTTTCTCATATGTCTCTACTCTTAAGCTTATCTGTTTCAGAAACAAGATTCAGAATTTGTATAATGAAAGATGGCAAATCATTTCAGTTGGTATAACATTATGACTACGAAGATTATCTTATGATTTTACTTTAATAACAAAACAAACCTGTTGCTTTGCCTGATTTTTCAATAATTTTGATTCTAAGCGTTTAATAGTATCATTTGTGGAAGGAACTTGCTCCATATTAGTGTCACTTTTATTACTGGTATTTGTAGAAGCAATGTCCATGAATGAGCCTAGGAAAGCAGAAACATTTATGAATAATAAATACAAATGCTTCATCAACATGTATATTCTTTTCTAGACTAGCAAGATATAAATAGAAAATAAGATTTTCTAAGCTAATGAAGATAGCCCCCAAAAAAACTTTTAAGTGAAATTTAAGAATAGCACAAAAAGGGAACCCAAATACCTAAACAGTCTTCTCATAGTCAAAGATGCTTTAAAGTTGTTAGCCTGAACTAGAAGAATGAAGTGCCTACTAATCAAAATGGGGAAGATCAACGTAGGAGTGAATTTGAAGGAAGTATCAGGAGCTTAATTTGAAAAATGATAAGTTTGAATTCCCATTAGATATCATGCAAGTAGTTGGATGAGTGTAGAGTTCAGGTCTGGAATGGAGCAAAACATTGGTAAATAGACAGTACATAAAGCTATAATATTAAATGAGATTACCAAGGAAATGAGTGTAGATAGATAAGCAAAGAGTCTAAATTAATGAGCCCTGGGCACTCTAACATATATAGCCTGGGAAGATAAGAAATAATCAGCATAGAAAACAATCAGAATAGTGGCCAGAGATATAACACAATCTAGGCTAGAATGCGATCCTGAAGATCAACTGAAGAAAGTCCTGTAAGAAGGAATGCAATGAATTATATCAAATGCTACTTAGAGTCAAAAAAGATGAGAACTTAAAATTATTCATTTAGATATAATAATCTGGAGATAACTGGTGACAACGTGAGAAGAGCAATTCTAAAGTACTTGGTATAATAAAAGCCTGAAGAGGAGAGGACACCAAAGAGAATGGGAAGAGAAGCTAGAAAATCAAATACAGAGGTGAGGGGAGGGGACAATGGTAAGATATGTACACATATAATACCTTAATAAAAAAAGAAAATCAAATATAGGGAATGATACCAGTAGAAAGGCTAAAACTGATGATGCCGGAGACAGGGAAGGATTGCTGGAATGGGATTTAATACACAAGTTCACAGGCTTGCCTTTGGCTAGAAGCAGGGTCAGTTCAGCCATATTAACAGAAGAAAATGCAGAGTAGATGGGCAGATATAGTGAAGGAACTTGTGGAAACCATCTACTAATTACTCTAATTTTTTCAGTAGACAAAGTCAGCTGAGAGTGAGGAGAGTTTGAAGTCTGAGGAGAAAGGCTAAAATATAAAATTAAATCATGTAGGAGAGGCGAGATGGACTAAAATAAAGTACAACTGTCCAGAGGCATTAAATAGAGATTTGAGGATAGTAAATGTGTGTCATCTTCCAGCCACATTCAGCTGCACTGATAATGTGAAGTAAGCTGAGAGTCAGATTTAACCAGGCCTCTGGTTTAGCCAAGCAAGCTTGAGTAAAGGGCTAGAAGGCTGGGAATTATTCCCAATGGAATTATAATAGCTGCTTGGAATTAAATGGAAGAAAAAAGGAAGAACCTAGGAGGACTGAGGATCAGTGAAAACATCAAAGGGTTAAAAGTCAAGTATAAAAACAGAGAGAGGGTTTGAAAGCAGAAGCAAAAACAAAACGAAACAGAATTTTGGAGTTCACTTTAAAATTTAGCACAACTAAAATATTCAGTAAAACTGGAATTTGGAAATAACTAGCCAAACAGTAACCAGTTTAAAATAAATATTATTTTTGAGATGGGAGATATAGATCAGTGAAAATATTTGTCAATGAAAATAAAATTTTGAGTATATACATACACATACCTTCTAATTTTAATTAATAATAAAATTTCATAATGTATTCCCAAATATATATTTAGTACAATTTTGCTAAGTTAGATTATTATTTCTACTTTTTTTTTTTTTTTAATTTCTTATTTATTTGAGAGAGCAAGGGAGAGATAGGAACAATCAATGAGAGAGAAACATTGATCTGCTGCTTCCTACATGCCATCTACTGGGGGTTGAGTCGGCAACCTGGGATAGAACCAGTGACCTCTTGTACATGGGTCAATGCTCAACCAAATGAGCCACAGCTATACTATCATTTTTGATGACAATAATCTATGAATCAATCCCACTTCTTCATATTTAGAAAACTGAGGAACTTTGAACTAAAATTGTAGAATAGTCTCTGTAAACTCTTCTATAAAGAGCAAAAATAAGGTAATCATAATCAAGAATAATGTTGTTTTATATATATATATATATATATATATACACACACACAATAATTTCTAATAGTATTTGATCTAGCAGTATCTATATATAAACTATCTTTCAAAGAAAGAATAGCATTCACAGTAATATAATATCCAATTGCTTTATATATAACCATGCAAGAATTCTAAGACATGGAAGCACAACTTTAGTAACTCTCTTAATCTTGGACTTTCACGAAGAACGGTGCACCTGGAAACTCAAAATGTAATCAATCTTGTGAAATGAAGAAATTAAACTGAAAATGGGGATTATAATTTTAAAAACACACAAAAAACTAGATGATTAGTCCTCTGATCTCTCTGCTTACCTGTACTGGTGGCTGAGTTGCTCTGTCCCTCATCTGAGTACTGACAGGGATACTGCAGAGGCTCATCTGCTCCTGGAAAGTACTGCAAATAAAAAGCAAATCCAACTTAAAATTCCTTTCATACAAACAAAATCCTATACAATTAACTTGAAAAGTACATCTGAATTATTTTGCTGTCATGGGACTTGAATATATCTAAGTTTTTGTTATTTATAAAGATGACAAAAACATACTCCTTTTTTTAATTTTGTGATCAATGCCATCCTATAGAATAAAAGCCTAATATGCTAAGTGCCCAGTCGGCCATTCGACCAATCAAAGCATAATATGCTAATGATATGCTAAGGTCACTCAACCACTCGCTATGACGTGTACTGACCACCAGGGGGAAGACTGTTCAACTGGTAGGTGAGTTTGCTGCTGGGGTCTGGCCCTTTGGGACTGAGCGAGATGGTCCAGACACACCCTGGTCCCTCCCAGGCTGGCTAACCTCCCACGTCCCTCCTTGCCCTAATCATGCACTGGTAGGGTCCCTTGGCCTAGCCTGATCCCTCTCGCAACCCAGGACCCCTCGAGGAATGTTGGAGAGCCAGTTTTGGTCTGATCCCACAGGCCAGGCCGAGGGACTCCACTGGTGCAGGTATTTGTGCAGCAGGCCTCTAGTGTATTAAATAATGCAGAGACCAGAATCTTAAAGAAAATAGGAAATATTCTCTAAGGGAATATGACATAAAATAGTATCATTCCTCACAGTTATATAAAACATATTTATGTTCTCAAATTAGTGATGTAAACTTCCAAATTGTTGAAATCATTGTTAGTCTGATAGAACTGAGATTGGTGTGCCATAGAATGATTGTTAGAACTAATATTTTAAATAAAAGGAAAAGATTATGCATATACCTCTATGACTTGGACATATTAGAAACATTTAGTGCACAAAAAATTACAATTTAAGAGAAAAAACTTTTCTTTTCAAATAAAAAACAAACAAACATATATTAAGCACAATTACAATTTGACAAATTTATATATCCCAATGTTTTAAGGTATATGACTCTAGAGACTAAGTTGTTTTCTTATGAAAATATCTTTAGGGCCCAGAATTTTATATATGTATGTAGCCGATATCCAAATATGATAGTTTTAATCAGATTAGCTCAAACTGATTTGCTTAAATTATTTTCAACAGAATGAACAAACTAAATCTTTGGCCATTTAGGAAATCACTTAGCTATAGTTAACGATATTTGAAGATTCTTCTACTGAGCAAATTGTTTTGAAATTCAGGTACTTTTATAGTATGTTAACTTTTTAAAGTCAAAGTACCACTTTTTTTTTAGAGTCCTAAAATTTAGAGTCCTAAAATTATTCAAATAATTCTATAAGTATCTGATTTATAGACTAGGAAATTTGGTAATCATTTAAGAAGGTTGTTCTAAATTTAAAAATTCTATAAATTCTAGAAGAGAATTTAACTTTTTAATGGCAAATAAAAGGCAGAAAATATGCAATGAAAAAACAAAAGGTAAAAAAATCACTTGCGTCTATAAGTGTAATTTCTCTATTGCCTTATATAAGTGACTGCTTGATAAGGAAAATTAAAAGTTTAGTTTAGCAAGTGTTAAGAGTCATAAAATACCTAGGTCCTATAAAGGCCTTAGAGACCACCTAATTGCAGATGAGGCAACAGGCCCAGAAACAAACACATTTACCCACTAAGTTAAGCAGGAGGAAAAAGCAAGTCCCCAAAGCTAGTCTAGCCCCTTTTCAATATAAATAACTAAATTTCCCCCCACCCTCCAATAGTGTTTCCTCCTCTGATTATTGAGTAATAAATGTCCTTTGTAACTTGGAAAATACAGAAAAAAATAAAGCAGAAATTAGCAATAATATTCTTTTACTTTAAAACTCCATTGAAACTGAGTACACATCACATCCCCTAAACCCAAAGCCCCTCAAAAGAAGGATTATACCCGCATCAAGTGAGTCATTATTTTAACAATCTCCTCCATTGAAGGGCGTAGAGAAGGATCTTTAGACCAACAGCGAGTCATCAGGCTCTCAATGGGCTTAGGTAAATTTTTGATCAGTGGTGGTCGAGTACCTATGAATAAAAATTAAAGGAGTAGGAAATAATTATTTACCCAAAGAATGTTTTGAGTTGTTTATTTTTATTTTTTAAGAAATATTTTTTATTGATTTTTTATGGAGATGAAGGGAGAGAAATAGAGAGTTAAAAACATCGATGAGAGAGAAACATCAATCCGCTGCCTCCTACACATCCCCCTATGGGGATGTGCCCGCAACCAAGGTACATGCCCTTGACTGGAATTGAACTTGGGACCTTTTAGTTGGCAGGCCAACGCTCTATCCACTGAGCCAAACTGACTTCAGCTGCTTTTTATATGTATTTCTAAAACAGTATTTATTTTATAGACCTATAAGATTTTTTTTGAGTAATAAAAGTAGCCTGTGTGTGTGTGTGTGTGTGTGTGTGTGTGTGTGTGTGTGTGTATTTTTTTTTTTTTTATCTTTTAGGTTAACACTGTATTTTCATAAAGGGGAGAAGCTACACCTTTCAAAAAGTTCAATGAAAACGCTTATATTCAATATGGTAAGAGTAAGCCTGAGAATATTTCACTTGTTACAAATATTCTTTTAACAAATAATAATGGCTTAATTTGTGTTTTATTAAGAAAAATGAAATGGTAGCTTGGGGTAATCTTATTTGAACTATATTTTAATTCACTGCAAAAATTCCAAATGTGTTTGAAAAATCATCTTCCATTCCTAAAAACTTATTTCTAAATGACTCCTTTGTGGGAGGGAGTCCTTCTGGCTGCTGTGAATCAATCATTTCAGAAGCTGAAAACAGACAATTTCTGTGCAATTACCAAACTGTAATATTATAAGTAAGGTCTCCAACTTAAAGAAGACCTCAAATACAATGAAACCCTTGTGATTTTACCAATTAATAAATTAGTTCTTTTATCCCTTATTTCACTGACATTCACTTATTTACTGACAACTGACAGAGAGAGGGGGAAAAAGTCTTGGTCAATGCTCTGGTATTCTCTACAATGACATTACAGGAAGCAAAATGATAGGTAGTACAGGAAACTGGTAAAGTGTTTAGGTTACTCAGTTGATAGTACTGTTTGATAGGTCTACAAATGATCTAAATAGGCAGATATCTGTGCATCACTTTTAAAATACTGTATTAAAATGCCAGTAATCGGAATGATTATAATCAAGTGACAGAAATTAAATAACAGACAGTGATGTTAAAAGTTAGGAAGGCTAAATAATTTTCCTTCATGAAGAGTTTATTTTCCCAAAGCAAATGTGAAATAACTTGATTAATGAAGAAGATGAATTCTAAAATCATGGGTCGTTAAAAACATCCTAATTAGAAATATAAAATGAATACAAGGGGTGTAAAGACATTGAATCCATAAATCAACATAACTTAAAAATGTGAAGATTGGAGTCAGAAAGATATAGACTGAATCCCAGAAATACCAGTTATAATCTTTCTTTAAATCCTCACCCAAGGATATGTTTATTGATTTGAAGGGGAAAAGAGAGGGAAAGAAACATTGATCAGTTTCCTCCTGTATTGGCCCCTACCAGGGATCAAACCCAAAACCCAGGCAAGTGCTCTGACTAGGAATCAAACCCACATGGGATGATGTTCCAACCAACTGGGCCGCCCGGCTGGGGCACCAGCTATTAATCTTGTGTGTGACTTTGGGCAAGGTAATGAACCTCTCTAGGCCTCAGTTTCCTAATCTGTAAAACTATAAAGTGAGGCAATCATAGTACTCACGTCATAAGGATGAGTAAGATTATAAAGAAAGAATATATAGAACACTTTGTGTTTTGCCTTTCTGCATAGCTTAAGTAACAACTCCTATTATTATTCTTTGCTTTAATCTCTCCAGTGAGATCCTTATGCTTCCTCTGGAGAAAAAATTAACTCCCCAATGATCTTAAGAATGTGAGAGATTTTTATATACTTGTTAATTTTTAAATTTAATTCCTCCACAGAGTGCAGACCGTTGCTTTTCTATCCCCTAAGTAGTTAGTTGATTCCCGCTGAGTACTGATAACCTTGCTCAAATCAGCACAGCCAGCAGAACCCCTCAGCTAACTTATGCAAAGGTCAGGACCACTCTAAGCCCTGCCCTGCCTGATTTTGGGTTGTGGGGATAGTGAGATAATGATAGTAGAAATGTATTCTGGTACCAAAGATGTTAAAGATAAATGGTCTTCTTTGGGGGGGAAACAGTTTCTCATATAGGGAATATTCAAATATATTTTTTAAAATGTTGGTTTACAAACCGTTATGAACAGCCCACATGATACGGAAAGCTGGGCCACCAATCTCATCAAAGGGTTTCCGACGCGTTATCACTTCCCAAAGGATAATACCCCAGCTGAAGACGTCACATTTTTCACTGTAATTGCTACCTACAAAAAAATGTAGTACAATTTCAAGACTTTTTCCCTCATGACTTAAAGAAACAACTGTTTTCATAAATTTTAAGAATGAACATCGTGTACAAACAAGAGAAGCCCACATGCAGAACTGAGAAATTACTCTTTCTGAAGTTCTTTAAATCTTTGCAAAAAATACCTTTTTAATGAATTAAGTGTTAATAATAAACTAGAAAATCTACTTTAGAAAGTTAGTCATGTTCTACCTTTTCATCTGGGGCAGAGAATAAAACACTTGTACATTCCTTTGTATATTTTTTTAATCTTAAATTTTCTTCTCCTATTCTCTTGCTAAAAAGCACTATCCTACTACTGAAGCAGAAGAAATATCTAATTTAGTGTTAAGATTTTCTTTTCAATATATGGTAAGATAGAATTCTTGATTTGAAAACTTAAAAATAAGTTGTAAACAATGAATATTATGAATAAAAATTTACAGTTGACAGATTATGCAGCAAAACGTAAAGGATTTATAAGTTGGTGGGTGAATCATTACAATAAACAGCCAACCCCAACCAAAATCCAAATCGTAATCAACCTACTGTACGAATGAACAATTATTATAATAGCAGCTCTTCAGGTACTTAGCGTACCATATGTACTACACATGCATTTAGCGGTACACTATAAGCATTACAATGATGTTAGAATCTAATTTGGGCTAAATATGTTGACACTTTTCAGAAATAAAAAAATCTGCATGGCCTAATAGTCTGAGCTTTGTCGCTCTAAATAATTAACAATAACTTTTATTTCTCTTTTTTTTGTGTATGTATAAACAAATATTTTTGGTCTCCATACTACAGTAATGCTGTTATTTTAACTCACAGAAAGGTATATTAAATACATAATTTTTAAACAATGCTAATTATATGCACTCTGTACTTGAACTTGAAAACATTATTATCAGGCATTGTTTAATTCTGTATAATTTAGTACTCGCTTGTCCACTAACTTTTAAATTGAATTTTATGTCAAAATGGTTCCACTCAAATGACCAGTTGCATAGCAAATTTTTCCTCTTTCAGGCTATGGCTAAAAATGAAAAAAACAAAACAAACAAAAAAAGCCTTCAAATCCATAAAAAAATAAAAAAGAATAAACCTTAATCAGAATCTGATTAGTGAATATATTTGAATTTTATGGGCATTCTTGTATCCTAACATACAAATCATACATATTCAGTTAAACTTTTCATATTTAAACAACTTGCTGTTTTTATAGAGAAACCTAGCATGAAATTTATGGATCATTCTTTTAGAACTTGAATGAAATATAGAGATGTAAAAGAAAGTAAACATAAGCTTATTCTATAATTGTTACTCTTATTACTGTATTTTTGCCTAATTACTTGCATTTTTCCTAAGGCATACTCATTTAGATGATGTATTTTTAATTCTTAGGAAACCAATACAAAAGCACAGTATTGCACAGTATTCCCATTATTCCTGGCATTTATGTTCTATAAAGTTGTTGTGAACACTGAATTAGTGAACACTGAATCATTTGCTTCCAGTGGAAATACAGGGGTAGCTTCCTGTGAGCCTCTTCATAACAGAATTGTCAACTGACCAATATATGGCATGTGTGTTTCTGTTTAAGTCACTTTATTGAATATGTTTGTTGATTCACTAATATTGAACTCATGACCATCAGCACTATTACTCCTACCTGAATGAAGATTAGCTAGTAAATGTATTTTCTCTGCAAGACACATGATAACCTTCTTATACTTAAGAACACTAGAAAGCGATTCAATACTATTCTTGGAGGCTATTTAAAACAGTGAAACAGCACACACACACTCACACACACATACACACACACACCAGAACAAAAACGTGGCACTAAAGAGATGAGAGCTAAAGGCAAAATGCTGCTTTGTTTGACCTTACCTGGGATCATATGTTTTGGGGAACTCAAAAAATTTCCCTGCTTCACCGTGAATACTGATTTGAAGGTCCCACACAGGTAATTTTACAGATAGGGAATCTGAGAATGAGAGTCAACTGCACATATGCTTGAACTTGCATAGAAGGTGCTAGACAACTTAAATCTTGCTATGAGATTTAAAATCTAAGTTTATGTTTACTTAATACCTCCTTAGACTTTAGTATATACCTTATAATTACATACCATATGGAAATAAAACAATAGACAAGATCATGAACATATTGGTAATAAGTTTACTAGTCACATCACGCTTGTCATTTTACCTTCAAAGACTTCAGGTGCCATCCAGGCAGCGCTCCCCTTGTTATTGGTCATGTGTGTCTGAATATCACAGGCTGTACCAAAATCACAGATTTTTAAAACTGTCCCCCCCGCGACCAGCAGCAAACTGTTAAAAATAAATAAATCACAGGTTGCAAGATTAATGTTTGATTCTACAAGAAGAGACATCTGTGGAAATAGAAAGGGTTAAGCAAAATGTCACCATTCAACTTCTGTAAAATGTTACCTGGTCACCAGGACAACTTAAGAGTTCAGAGGAATATCAGTAAAAATTAACTGACCTCTTAGGAAAATTGCTAGAACCATATTTTGATATCTCCATCTTTTTCTTTATAATCTTTCCTGACTATAGTTTTTTCTCTGGGCCAAAATAAAATTTAAATCCTAAAATTTACAGATTTATGGTATATGGGTAGATAGAGAATGAAGGTAGTCATTTAAGCTGTGTAATTATGAAATAAAAAACGTTAGAAAACTGAAATGAATTCCTTCCTTTTGTGAGATATTTTCATGTATTTTGTTTAATAACTAGGCAGTTATCCCAAAGCCAAAACATGCTCTAATAAAGAAGGAAAGGAATACTTTAGGGAGGTGCATCTGATGTTTCTGGCTCTTCCAGGAAAAGGACACTTTGTCTGATGCTTGTCTATACCCTTTGAATCATCAATTTGTTGCTAGAAAAGAGCTATCATTTCCCTGATTTTGCTTTGCTATTCAACTCCATGTGGATGAGGGGGAGGACTCAATTTTCATAACCAGCAAAAAAAAAGAAAAAAGTTAATGGCTAAGTGATTTCTTCTTCACTTAGCCAAAATAGGTAGCTGAGACAACAGCCAACAGCCTCAGAAGTCAAGTTAAAAAGTAAGTGTCATTATCTAGGGTTTAAACATTATTTGACCAGGGACTTGGGGATAGAGAAATCACTTTAAGCCTCAGAGTAGAAATACAGTATAATAATGAGATTTGGGGCGGGGAGCGGGGAGACGGGGAAGAGACATGTGAGGACTCTCTCACTCTGTCACAAAAAGTTTTAGCCTTTTAAAGTACTTATTTAGGAACTTTTTGCTTTGTTTTGTTATTATTAATCCTCATCCAAGGGTTTTTTTTCATTGATTTTTAATTGGGGAGGTGGGGCAAAAACACATTGATTGGTTGCCACCCGCAGGCTCCCTGACAGGGACTGGGGATGGAACTTGCAACTCAGGTAAGTGCCCTTGACCAGAAATTGAACCCACAACCCTTCTGTTTTAGTTCATGCTCCAACCACTAAGCAACACTGGCCAGGGCTACTTAGGAAATTTTGAAGTTTCCTCAATATGGAGAATCCTCAAAATGGAGAAATCCAGAATATTTTCAAATTCTACCCAGATATCAGAATTGCCCTTTTTCCTTCCTCTGAAAGCGTAAATAATAATCACTCTGTAAATTTTCCTAGAATATCTACTATATGTGGATTATATATATTGTGCTAGCTGTTAGGGATACATAAGGGACTGAGATAGACTTGTCTCTGCTCCCATGAAACTGTCAACAATATATACTGTAGGCACAATATATACTGTAGGCACAAATAAGATAGGCAAAAATATTCTAAGTATGCTAATATAAGATAGGAGTTATTAAAAATAAAATTTTAAATAAAAATGCCACTAAAGACAACATTCTAAAATGCAAGCTTTTAATGGTAAGTATCAACCTATGAATCAGAAGGTCATGGTTTAATTTAATTCCTGGTCAGAGCACATGCCAGTTTCGCACTCAATCCCCAGTAGGGGGCGTAGAGGAGGCAGCCAATCAATGATTCCCTCTCATCACTGATGTTTCTCTCTCTTTCCATCTCTCTTCCTCTCTGAAATCAATAAAAATAAATTTTAAAATGCAAGCTTAGATAAATTACTAACTAATGCTAAGTAAAAACAAACACTCTTAAACCAGCCAAAAGGGAAGAAAGAAGAGAAGCTCATGTTCAACCTATAGCTTGAATTAGGGAGAGGGAGATGGAGAAGAAGAGAGATAGAGGCAGAGAGAGACACTTACTTTGGTGGTTTCAGGTCCCTGTGAATTAGAGCTTTGGGCTGCATGCTGTGAAGGTAAGCCACTCCTTGGGAACACTGTAAACACCAACTCATAGCATGGGCAGCAGTGTAATACGGCAATGGTTCGGCACCATGCAGCACTGCAAAAGAAAGGCACAAACTAAAAAGAACTTTATTGCACATAACAAAAAATACAAAATGACTGCAAGCACTATCAGAACACATGACTGGGTTCCTTTTCATACAGGCTCCTACCAGTCCTGTTTTTAATTATTTTCTAAATAAAAAGATGGAAACATCTAATAATTTCAAATGGATAACTACCACATAAGCACCTAACATTTTATAGCACTTCCATTAAATTATACATACATTGAAGTCAAATTAATATACATTACCATACTTTTTCATATTGATATAAGTATCTCACACAATTATGTAAATTATAAGCAAAATGATGCACACTATTATAATAGTATAGGAGACAAAATGTGTATCAAAATGTTTACAATTACACTTTCTATAATAGTTAATGACTAGAAATAGTTTAACTAAATAAAACAATGGAGTATACCTATTATATTTACTGCCAATGATGAATGCATTGGCAGTAAATATAAAAATTTATATAAAATAATGTTAATTTGAAAAATAAAATGCAACAATTTACTTTATATAAATGGTTCAACAAGAGATGACACATTTACATATATGGTTGGTGTTTCTTAGAGTGAAAGAGTTCTGTTCTATAAAGGTAACTAGTTAATAATACAGTTTTCTTTCATTGTTACAATTAAAATGTTTTGCGAAGTGAGTTTTTACAGTTTTAATTTTTGTAAAGAAACCAAAATAAAGCAGATTGAAATGGAAGTATAGTTATAGAGTTCTAAAATAGGAAGGCTCAAAGTTAAGAGAGGCAAAAAATAAATAAAAGTGAGAAGATATTTTAAAATCTATTTAAAAGTAAATTTTACTTTACTCAAATGCTTCTAATATGAAAAAAAACAACATTAATTTAAAAGGTAGATATACTTCAATTTCTAAATTTGACATACTAATGTTGTAGTGTCTTATCTTTTTATTTTTAATCTTTAGCAGATTTCTTTTTAAATTATTTCCTTTGGGAACTATAAAGTTAAATGTGAAAAACATTAACCTTACATTTTATGTTAAAAGCTTTTCAATTCTACTAGATAGAGACAGGTCTAATGACACTCACCATTATATAAAGAGCCCCCTTCAGCATATTCCATCACAAGACACACCTAAAGGAAACAAGCCAGAATAATTAACCACAGGGCTACAGCTATCTCAGAAGACTTGAAAGAAAACTTAGTTCAATCTTTGATTTTTATAAATGCATTAGAAGAGATTCTTTTGGCCCCTATGTAAATGACACTAGTGAGGGGTTTGGCTGTACTCAGGGGGAAAAAGGTATCTATGATCTAAAGCCTTGTCAGTCTAGGCACCCACTGTCTAAGAGCAGAGAAGTATGAAAAACATAATCACAAGATTTCTGGGGGCTTTCTCCACTGCTAATGAGTAGGTGTCATCACAGAATAACGTAAGCCTCATTAAGATGAGGTTACTGGATAAGAACACCCAAGACAACTCCTTCAATAATACTGGCTAAAAACAAATACATAAAGTACAATCCTTCCCTTCCCCCAAATAATATAACAGCAAAATAGCTAAACTACACACCTGAACACATCTGTCATGTCATTTCTTATACTGTTGACAATGAAAAGGTGTCAAACTTACTGGATTCAAACAGGCTCCATATAGCTTTACAATATTTGGATGGTTCACACGGGATAACTGCCGAAGCTGTAATAAATTAAGCTTTCTTTTAAAAAGTGATAACTTTTGAGAAACTGATTTCACAGCAATATTAAAATCTTAAGGTTGCACAAAATATTAATCATTCAACAATCACTGTTTACTACATAGCAGCACTGTGGTCTTAAGTGCTTGCCCAGAATGGCACAGAATCCCTGTCCTAAAGATCTCCCAGTTTAGTTGGGCAATAGACATGTAAACACATAATTAAAGCAATGTACAAAGTGTCATTACAGGATAACAAGTACAAACAAGAAAAAATTAACTTGTCCAGAAATGTTAGGACAGCATCCCAGAGATGGCACTGGGCTGAGTTACTGAAGTCATAAAAAGCTATCTTGTGGTAATCATCATCTTTATAGCTATGGTTGAATAACCTATCTACTCTATGCTGGGCCATGGTGGGAACTCTATAGATATTGTACAATTCTCATAACTCTACAAGATGAGGGATCTTTAAGATAAGGCTCAGAGATGGTTAAGTGAGCTGCTAAATACCCTGCAACCAGGGTCTGTACTTTGGTCTGACTTAAAACCGGTACTCTTCCTACATAGTTGTACTCTTGACTACACTCCAGATCACATCTCATGAATAAATTCTCTCCTCTTCATTTCCACTACCATTGCCTTAATAATTATAATCTGAACCACTGCAGTAATTGCTTTGTCCTAGTTGATCTCCCTACTTCCAGTTTTAATCCTACCTGATCCAATGATCCATACTGAGGTCAGTGAGGGGTTTGGCTGTATTCATTTCTCTTGTATACATCTCAAACTTCTATTAATATGTCCCCTTAAACTGCTCCTTGCTGCCTTTCTTCTCTACCTTCTTCTCTCTTTTCTGTCTTTCCCCCTCTTCTTCCTTCCCTTTTCTATTACCTACAATATACTGTTGGCCCATATGAAGTCCATTAAGGTAAACCTTTTTACGAATGCAACTAGAAAGCTGTACTTTTCTACAGCCAATATTTGTAACTTTGGTCCGAATAGAATTAAAAACACTATTTATTATACATATTAATTTGATTACATATAAACATATATTTATTGTAGTCTAAATTGTTAATTATAAGCATTGAGGTTCAGTTGGCAGGTTATTCAAGAATTTATTCCTGCTCTCTCTCCAAATCCCACAAAGACAGCAAAGGTATTTTTTTTTTTTAAGCCATAAACTCAGAAGGGAACAGAATGTAAACGTTTTGGAAGCTGGAAAGCAAATGACTAGCAATAACTGACAAAGCAGACCTAAAAAGAAATGAGAAAAAGTCAGAATTAAGCATATTTAGCTCACAAAACCTCCAAAAGGTTGAGCAGTGGTGATAGCATGAGATACATAAGCAAATAAGCTAATAAAAGAAGAGAGAGATGGGCTGAAAGTTAGACCCAAAGATCCCCCTCCCAGACTTCAAGCAGCTTAGTGGCTCTTTATCATCCCAAAGATTAGAGGAGTGGATACTTTAGAGAAGATATAATAAAGAGTCACTGATTGGGAACACCAAACAAAATTAACAAATGAGTTCCAAGTAGCTGCCTCTAAGAAGCAGAAAACTTGATAGTAGGAGGTATAAGGAACTGAGATTTTTTAAGTAAGAGTATATGGAGAACCGACAATTTAAATTAAACATATGTATAACCTCGATTAAATTTTTTTTCTCCAAGCTATTATAATCTTTGACTCAGTTCCTAGCATTTAACACTTATGCTTTTACCTAGTTTTGTGAAATTGTCACAAGAGTATATAATCAATGACCTAATCTAAACTATAAAAAAAAAATTATGAGTAAGCAAGGCTGAGGCCAGACTCCTAGAGCATACTACTGGAGATTATCTTTCTTTATGATATTATCAAACCATTCATTAGTATTTCTCAACTCATTCAACTAATTACAAAATCCAATTCATCATTTCACAAGCAAGTTCTCATTTCTCAATGTTACACATTTAAAAATTTCATTCAGTATATTTAAAAATTATAAATAAAATCACAGATATGAATTCAGAAGGTTTATAAAGACTACTTATCCACTGGCTGATAAGGTTAAAAAGTGATAGAACCACTGATTTTGTGAAACACTGCGATTTAATGTATAAAATTAAGAGAATAAGTCTGATAATATAATAATCTCATGATCATTAAATTCTCCATCAATCCTATATAATAAAAAGATAATATGCAAATTGACCCTAACAGCAGAACAACTGGGAACAACCAGTTGCTATGATGCACACTGACCACCAGAAAGAAGATGCTCAAGGCAGGAGCTGACCCCTGGTGGTCATGTGCTCCCACAGAGGGAGCTTTGCTCAGCCACAAGCTGGGCTGACGGCTACGAGTGCAGCGGCAGTGGCAGGAGCCTCTCCGGCCTCCTCTGCGGCACTAAGAATGTCCGACTGCGGCTTAGGCCCACTCCTGGGGAATTGGGCCTAAGCGGACAAGTGGACGTCCCCCGAGGGATCCCGGACTGCGAGAGGGCACAAGCCGGGCTGAGGGACTCCCCCAAGTGCACAAATTTTTGTGTACTGGGCCTCTAGTCTATACTAATAATAGCCTAGGTGGTCATCACAAGGAGGCTGCATGCGCAGGGTGGGGTCTTGACGCTGCATGCATGACACGGAGGCGGGGCCTGGTGGCCGCTCCATGCAACAAGGCCTGGGGGTCCCACGGCCTTGTGCGCCTCAGAGGCGGGACCCCTGGCTCTGCCTATCTCTTTGGGGCAATCCATGGAGGAGCTCCAAGGTCCCGGATTTTGCAAGCCACGTCACTAGTATATCTATAAAGAACAGAGTTGTATTTTCATACTATATGAGAAAAACCAAATTTAGAATTATTTTTCCTTAAAATAATCTCATTCAAATTTCTAAAAATATCCAGTCAAAATGAATGCATTTCCCTTCTTAATTTTGGATAATGGGAGAGAATAGTATTTCTTTTCTATTTTAAAATTTAAAATTTAAATTTTATGCCTTGAAATAGATCTGAATTATATTTTAATTCAGGGATGAATTCATTTAGTTAAGTCTCCTTTCTGCCTTATTTTTAATCAGAATGAAGACTGTGAATGAAAAAAATGTTCCTATGACATTACCTTTAGTTACACAAACTAAGGGCCCAGTGCACAAATTCGTGTACCTTAAAAGGAACTGTGGGCCATGAGGCTACGGTAAGCACAGGGGTAGGTCTTGGCCCATCCTCTGTGCCGCTGTCCAACCCCTCCCACTATGGCCCCCAGTTCCCTATCTGCCAGCAGCCCTGTTCCAGCTACTGCCGCTTCCATGCACTGACAGCACCGGCCCCATTCACACCCACTGTCAACACGAAGCAATTGGGGCTGGCGCCAGCAGTGGGTACAAGCAGGGAAGGCGCTGTAAGTAGGTGCAAGTGGCGGGCTACTGCCCCAATCGCCCCTTAGGAGCAGGGGGAGGTGGAAAAGCACTCAGAGATAATTAAGGCTGGCAGCCGCCACTCACACCTGCTGATGGCTCTAAGTTATTGGGACCAGCATCAGGCACTGGCAGCAGGTGCAAGCAGAACTGGCACTGACAGTGGGTGCGAGCAGTGGCTCCAGCTCTGGCAGTGGGTGTGAATCGAACTGGCGCTAGCAGCAGCTGCAAGTGCCAGGTGGGACCACGGCACATGGGAGCAAAGAATTTTCAGTAACCACCAGAGGCTTGCCCCGATGACAGCAACTGGTGCCCTGCCTTGGTTTGGCGCCCCCGCTCACCTGCTTTACCATCCTGCCGTGCCCAACACCCTCCATGTTCCATACATGCCCCCTGGTGGTCAACGCACGTCATAGCAACCAGCTGTTCTGCCATTCGGTCTATTTGCATATTAGCTTTTATTCTATAGGATAACTGATATTCAAGTTCATGGGTAAGTGACAATTGAGAAACGTTTTTTCAGAATTAAATTAAGAACATCTTAGGTGAAAAAACTATACAATAAAAATGACATTTCATCTTACCTCTACAATGAAAGCTTTCCTCTCAGATTCACTTTCTATCTGTTTGATAGCAACATCTTTTGCTCTCCATTTAGCTTTGCAAACTACTCCAAAGGCTCCTCTTCCAACAACCTAAATTAAAAAAGAAAAACACACACCATAGGAATTAGAAACAAGCAAATCCAACCCAACATATAACACTAAAGCCAATCTGAAACTTATTAAAGTGAGAATAAATGAAAAGCATTTGTCTCTATATTTGAAAGTTTATGATCTACACATGTCTTTATTCTCAAATAAAGCCAAAACAGCAAACAAAAAAAGATTCTTGAAGAGAGGAAATAAAAGAGACAAGATGAGGAAAGAGAAAATGGTCTGAAAAAAAATAAAAAGAAACATAATCAATGTTTTAGCTATCATATTTATGAAATTAAAAATAGTTTTGAATAATTCAGTAGCACTAGACAGGGAAGGGAAAAGGTTAAAATGTAGATAAAAGATTGACCACTGTGAAGGACAGTCATTATGTCTAAAATAAAAAGTTTTGTCAAGAAAAAGAAACCCTGCTGATACATGCTAACAATCAATGAACTTAAAAAATATTACACTAAGGGAAAGAAGCCAGCTATGAGATTCCACATATTATACAATTCCATTTATATGAAACTACAGGGCTGGTGCACGAAATTCTTGTACTTCAGGGCGAGGGGCTTCAGCCTGGCCTGCACCCTCTCAAAGTCCAGGAACCCTTGGGGGATGTCAAACTGATGGCTTCAGCCTGCTCCCCGGACATCCTTCGTTCTCCTGCGGAGGCAAGAGAGGCTCCCAGCACTGCTGCTGCACCTGCCAGCCGTGAACCCAGCTTCTGCTGAGCAGCGCTCCTCTTGGGAGTGCACTGACCACTGGGGGAAGCTCCTGCATTGAGCGTTTATCCCCTGGTGGTCAGTGTGCATCATAATGACCATTCAATTGATTTGTATATTAGCCTTTTATCATATAGGATGTCCAATAAAGGTAAATCCATAGAGATACAAAGTAAATTAGTGGTTTGCCTGGGGCTGAGAGCGGAAATAGAGATTAATTGTAAATGAGGAGGAAGAATACTACCAAGGGGGAAAAATAAGTTTAAAAACTGAATTATAGTAATGGCTATACAACTCAGTAATTTGTATATATCACTGTAACACTTTAAATGAATGTATTTTGCCGAGACCGGTTTGGCTCAGTGGATAGAGCGTCGGCTTGGGGACTGAGGGGTCCCGGGTTTGATTCCGGTCAAGGGCATGCAGGGAGTGTGCAAGAGGCAGCTGATCGATGACTCTCTCTCATCGATGTTTCTAACTCTCTCCCTCCCTTCCTCTCTGTACAAAATCAATAAAATTAAAAAAAAGTAAATGCATGTATTTTGACATGTAAAATACATCATTAATATTATTCTTTTAAAAAATATAATAAAGATTGGTCATGTATTATATCATTATTGAAGTTAACTGATAGGTCCCTCATGGGTTCTTTGCTCTCTCAATCTAGTCTACTTTTATAAATGTTTGAGATTTGCCATAATATAAAAATAACAACTAAACAAAATAAAACATCATTAGAGTCTATCATTGTAAAGAACCTTATTCAAGTGTCATTTACTGCGATCTTTCAACTTCCATTGGATCTATTTACTTTTCCTTATGGTAAAATGAGAACTCCCTATGTGGTTCTCATTTATGATATATTTTCTATGTAGTAGGTAACTAAGTGCCTACTCATTTGCCCAAAGCTATATGGTTAGTAAAGAGCAATCTGGTTGATACCAGGCAGTCTAACACCAGAATGTTAGGAATGCTAATTTGTACACATTTATCTGTATTATATCTCAGAAAGTAGCAGCTATATCTTCCCTTGGAGGAGGACTCTTCACTTGAACCAAGATCACATGGTCAGTAAGTATTCAAAGAAGCCAGGATTTAAAGCCTATAGTAGATAATGACCAATTTACCATTCAGCTTCTGTGTGTCATCGACATATTTCAAGGAAACTAGACTGACGCTAGACTCCACACCTCTCATAAGAGAAAGAAACCAACTTAGTAATTTGCACTTGTCAACCAGTTGCTTTAACATAAATGGACATTGGCTAAACCTGGCACCATCAGAATAATAGAAAGCTTGTCTGGGCTCTAGAACCCAACACACGTGAGTTTGAACATTGGTTCTGTTTACATATTACTTATGATACTGGACAAGTTAATGTTTTTTGAGCTCCTGTTTTCTCAACAGTAAAAGAGAGATGCTTATATTTTTCTCAGTGAACATCTATAAGGTTCGCAAGTCAAAATCAGATATTTCTTAAATACTAGAAAAGAACAATAAGTTAGGTATGAACCAGTATTGCACTACTCATTTCTCTACAATTGATCATGATAAATAGCAAACAGGCCCTAAATCAAATGCAAACTTTATGGCAACATACGCTAAAAAGGTATGGATGGAGACACTCCTATTTATTTGATATTACAATGATATTATGATTATGCAGTAATATACTATATTCTTCAACCATGTACTTATAAATATATCAAAGCAACTAGTATTTAATAGGTTTCCTCTTGATTCATTTTCCTATTCTTAGGAATGTCCACATAAGGATTCCAAACATTTTATTTGGAATTCCAAACATTGCACTTGTTGCAAAAACTGTATTAAGTTTGTATGACTAACTGTGATGCACAAGTGCCACCTAGTGCTGAGATGATGGCTGACTCTGAGTTTTCAACTTAAAACCATGGGAACACAATGTTTAAGAAAGCAATTTTTTGGAACACTCATATACAAAATAGGAATAGTCGTGTAAAGTGAGAGCCCAAGGTCTCAAAAAGTCTTGACTCAAGTTAAGGCCATAAGCTATTTTATAAGTATGGTGAAACAACAGATCTAAAAATGATTATTATGAAGTCCAAGATGCCCACGCAGGTTGTATACATAAACTGAATTGCATGACAGGAAAAATAATTGCTGTAACTTCAAAGAAGTGAGGTTAGACGCATAGAGTCAATGTTTAAAGAATTTAAATTTTGGCCTATCTAGTAATTCTGATCACCAATTCCAATGTGTGTGTGTGGGGGGGTGGGTAGTTTATCCACACCACCAAGCAATTCTCAGATACCAGTTGGGTGTCTTAAAATTCAACTCAATTTGGACACTACCTACAGATAGCAACAGATCTCACACGTTACGGGCTCAATTCTATACTCTCAACCCCCCATGCTTCTAACCAACTACACTCTTCTTTGGTTCAATTAATTTGCTAAAGCAGCTATTCAGACAAATATTTTACTTACCAGATTGCCAGTTTATTATCTATACAAATAGACAAATATGTAAATTGACCATACCTCCAGGACACCCACAGCCAATCAGGAGTGATATGCAAATTTACCTGACAAAGATCGTGGGCCTGTAGGTAGCATACATGCGCCAAGCAGCCAGGGGTGAGGCAGGATGCCCGCAGGCTGCTCCAGGCCTATACACACAGGTGCTGAGCAGCCAGGGGCAGGGCAGGACAGGGGACACGGCAAGTGTTCCTGCTCCCCAGCCTCTCCAGGCCTACTAACGCAGATGCCAAGCAGCTGGGGGGAGGGGTGGGACACCTGCCCACCATCTAGCCGGGGCAACATGGTGGGTGTCCTCAGACCCCACCCACTCCAAGGCCAGCGAGAGCAGCCAGGGTCCTGGGGACACCAATGTAGTGTCCAGTCTTGTCAGCCCGGCCTGGGCAGCTGGAGTTCCAAGTCCTTGTGGACTGGAAGCGGAAGCCCAGAATGCAGGGAGCACCAGGAATGCTGCGAATCGTAGTTCTGGTGGCAGATGCATTGAGGGAATCTCCTAGACACTAGAGCAAAGTGAGCCTGGAACAAGTTAATGTTGCAGGTGGGGGTTGGAGGGAAAGCAAAGGTGAGAGACATAAATAAAGTCAGAGTGTAAAGGAAAAATTAAAAGGAAAATGTCCTGCAACTTCTAGGAAATCTCCACCAATGGGGCAAAGAAAAAAAAAAAAAAGATTATTATTCTGTGAGCACCAAACCAAACTGGGTTGGGGTCTCAGACACTTCACTCAGGATTGATCAGACAGACAAAAACTCCCAGATTGGAGAAGGCTCCCTTGAGGGCTCCTAGATTGGAGAGGGTGCAGGTCTGGCTGAGGGACCCACCGCCTGTGCACAAATTTCATGCACTGGGCCCTGGAACAGCAGAGAGCATGTATAAAGCAAGGTATGGGAACTTCCCATACCCAATCTGTGTGACAAACTCCTCTAATCACATGTGTTCATCAACCTGGAACTTTGTCCTTTTGGGTGTTTATAGAGGCTTCATTAAAGGGCATGGTTTATTTAATCATTCCTTATTGGCTGCTGATTCAGCCTCCAAGTCATCGCCACTCAATGGAGGTCGGGGAGGTGGGACTTAAAGTCTAATCAGAAGGTTGGTTGTCCTGGCAATCAGCCCCCATCCTCAGGTGTGGTCCAACTACCAAAGACATCCTTATGGTTCTCCTCACTTATGAAATTCTGAGGTTTTTGGGGAACTGTGAACCTGGAACCCTGGACAAAGACCAAATACATATAAAATTTTTATTTTGGTTATCTGAAATATATATTTCTTATAAATCACCATGCTGCAGTATCAAAAAATGACTTCATTTTTTACAATGGCATATATAGAATTGAGCCGAAACCGGTTTGGCTCAGTGGATAGAGCATCAGATTGGGACTGAAGGGTCCCGGGTTCGATTCCAGTCAAGGGCATGTACCTTGGTTGCGGGCACATCCCCAATAGGAGCTTTGCAGAAGGCAGCTGATGGATGACTCTCTCTCTCTCATCGATGTTTCTAACTATCTCTCTCCCTTCCTCTCTGTAAAAAATCAATAAAATATATTTTAAAAAAAGAACGGACCCCTACCTTTATGATATAAAAGTGAGATAGAGAAGAAATTAAAGACAAACCAACACAATACTTTTTTAATTCCTAGCTCAAGAAAGCTAAACATGAGAGTACACGACAGCAGCTAAGAACCATCCCTTCCCCTTCTGAAACAAGTTGAGGGATTAGAAGGCACAAAGGATTTATCCCCCTACTTTTCA